AGAGCAGGTGATCGTGTGTGTGTGTGTGTGTGTGTGTGTGTGTGTGTGTGTGAATGCAAGTGTGGACGTGCGTGCGTTCGCGCGCAAACCTCTATTCAGATAGTTGTGCTTGCCTAGAGTTCAGCTTCTGTGCCGGTACGATGGCGCCATACAGCCGGTAAATATTCTCATTCACTCAAACAAGGCGCCGTGAAAATGATGTCCCATTTCTCCCTTTCCTGTTACATGTAGTGACTTCGTTGTTTCATCAGTGTGCCTCTGGGTGTGTGTGAATCTGTGTATGTGCAGATAAAACTAATTGCGTTGCGTGTTGAACGTATATACGCGTGAGTTAAACTCATTTTAGTACAGATTTCAGTTCATTCTCACTTCGGATAGGACATTCGACCATGTGGTCATGCGACGAAATGAACAAGTTTAAAATTCGATTATACGTGCACATTAACAACCACTTCCTGGGCAGTCGTCGAGTTCGTATTCATACCAAGAAATTTCGGGTTATACAAGTGTTCGGACCATACATCCATAAGTTACACGGATCCATACACTGAACAGTCGAGATCGCCGGTAACCGAAGTTTACCGAATTGAATTTAAAATCTGATCGCGTTTAGTAGCATAGTTATTAATCGGGTATTTTTGCGTGCACTCTCTGCGCTTGTTGTGCCGTGTGTGTGTGTGTGTGTGTGTGATGCTGACAGTCGCTGGCGTACATCAATTCTCAAGATCTGAAGTTCAAAGCACACACCGCACCGCCACTCGGCGTTGGTGGGCTAGGGTAGCTTCATCGGCCATCCGGTTCCAGATCAAGCCTGTTGCGTTGGGGCCGCCTATGTGTATTTCCAAACCACATATCGCAGATTATGTCACTACGGTGTTTCAGTCTTCACTTCTTCGCGGTTTTTAGTCCTCGTTTGAGGGGTTTTAAAACTCAGTAGTGATTGTTTTACTGATTCGCACAAATGCCTGTATCCCACCAACCGGTTGTGTTGTAATCCGGCCACAAAGTATATTTTGTAGAGGGTCGAACGATCATCGAGGAGAATCAATCCAGACAAAGCATGTTGACAAGGCTGTATTAGCTACAAAGATCAGGAGAAGCGGAGCAAACCCCGATTGAAAACTGAACGACAAAGTCAGTCCGTCTGTGTACCCACCTGTATCTGTAGATAGCCATCTTCACCCCGGTTCTCTGCACCTACCGAGGAAATCTTAGGATTGATCGCAGCTTTCCTCCTGGAACCTTGACTATTAATTTGATTATTTATATTCCAAGAAAAAGAGCTAAATTCCACGAAGAAATTACCAATGTATTGTATCGCTGCTGCTACTACTACTACTACTACCACCATCACCACTGATGGCCTGGCAGTTGTTCAACACTGCAAATGGCTAGACAAACACCTTTAATTAGCGTTTGATTGCAGTTGTTACATGATTCGGACGGCTCGGTAGGCGTATGGATTACCATTTTTCCTTAGTGGCAGGTTGGCCCTTAAACAGACTAGAGCGGCTTTTTCGACGAAATCCATTTTGTAAATTCATCGTTTGACAAGTTTTGCATGATGATGATGATGTTTTCGGTGAACAACAACAACAACAGCAACAACAACAGCAGCAGCAGCAACAACATTGAACATCTGGCAAAAATGGCGGCACTCGTCCATTCATTCAATTCCTTTGCAAAACTATTCTCCCTGATCCCCCCCGTGTCTTCACCTTGGTACTGCCCTAAGCTTTATCCATAGTCCTTCATTCCACCCTGGTTGGCAAAAGATAGCAACCACACAGTCGCGCAAACGTGCAAACTTACTGGTCTGAACTGAATTGAGCTGATCAAAGAGAGGAAATGGGGTGTGCAATGTGCTGGCAATTGAGGATCGCATTATGAAGAATGGGAACTAGTAGGATGGAGTGATTTTCAGCAATGGAAGATATATGTATATATATCATAATGAGTAGTATATGAGTAACTGGACAAAATTTCCATGGAAGCACACGACCGGTTTCGCGGTTCTTGCCGTTCGTCAGGCATGCGTATCCGGTAATCTTTTGCCAGTTCACTCATATACTTGTACTCAGGAAGTGTATTTTCGTCACAATAACCTTGTTTGCAACACCGGGTAACCATTGGATAGACAGCTCTTTCAGAGCCAGTCCAATAAAGAATCAGTGCTATGATTCGATATTTTGTAAAGGGGGTTAGGTGCTACCAACCGCAACAAACATTATATATATATATATATATATATATATATATTTCACACACCTGACTGAGTTCAGACTGTGTGCCAAACAAATCGCGGCACCATAAACGTTATAAAAAAGTAAAATGTTCCACGATTTGCATGTGAGCCGAATACCGCCAGGTTGCTCAGGCCAAGGCCGGTGAATTTTCTTGAGTAATCCACAACCGGAGCCTTCGTCTAACCAAAGTCTGACCTGCAAGGCAACTGGGCGTTGTGCAAAAAGTGCAGTCCATTGGGAGCCGGTGTCCAGTTCATCGAATCATTCTCCTTTCAGACGGGGTCCAACGTCCAAGGTGCTCAATACACCTCGATACCCAATCGAGCCGGTGACCTTCGCCGCAACCAGAAAGGTGTGGTTCGTACGCATCCTTACGGTTATTTTGGAATTAGGGTTTTGGCCAACTCTCCTAGGTGAACTACCAGTAGTCCACCAACTCGGCTATAGCCCCGGATGTTGGCTTTTGGTCGTCTCACTTTAGAGAGAAAACACCTCCACGAGAAGGCAGTGAGTAGAGCTTCCTCAGCAGGGACTATTTGAGACGCTTGGTGGCGTATGGAGCATTTCGCTAGGTTCAGTTTTCCAGTTTAAACAACCATTAGGCATGCATTTCCGTGCGACACTTTTGGTTGCTGTCTTTTGGCTGCCCATTTGGACGAACAATAGGAGAAAAACAGGATGGTTGAAAGTGGGATCGAAAAAAATTGAAAAGTTCAGTAGACTAATGATGCAAAGAAATTGAGAAGATGCACGAACGCGAGGTGCAAGGGAAGGGTGACCAACCGCAACCCTGGACACCCACCCCGGACCATGCCGACGATTTCGGAAGAGGTTCGATTCGAATGCACTGGCATACGAACTTGAGAATTCCCTCACTGAATTTTCTTCCTCTTTGTTGCATGTGCACATGCGCGGACGCAAATAGACACAAGTGTCTCACTATCTCTGTTTTTAACCAAGGCTTGCTCTGCTCTATGGTCTCTTTGATCTCAGTCTAGGTTGATTTCCTGTCAGCAGTGATTCGTTACTTTTTTGAAGCACACTCTCTGACCGAACAAAAGTGCGTCTTGGTTGACTGTTGGAACGTACTGATCGGTAAACCGAGTAAGGCTGAGCTCGAAAAAATACCTTCAGCGAAGGCTTAAACACAACACTAACTCAGCACAATACATACGAATCGTAGTGTTATGCTTTCTAGCCTAAGACTGACCTATATTTTTTCCGGATTAATATATAGTATAGCCGCAACCATCTATATGACAACCACTTACGCTCTTATACCGGTTTTTCCCTCTTGTCGGAAATTGTCGGATTATAGGCTTATCCCGAGGTGTTGGCTTCATCCGATTCGATCAACGTTCAGAGGCCGAACAGGCAATCAAAAAGCTAAATGGTGTAATCCCTCCGGATGCAACAGAGCCAATCACTGTGAAGTTGGCCAACTCGCCCGCTTCTGTGCACAACAGTAGCAGTACTAATTCCGCAGCCGCAGCTGCAGCTGCAGCCGCCCTGACAGGACCTCTTCAACCACTTGTGCCGAATGCTTTGGGAGGTTATCTCGGTGACTACTCGCTCGATTTGACTCACGCAGCATCTCTGCATCCCGTGCCCGGTGTTCCCCTATCCACCACAACCCTTCCGTCTGGTTCCTCTCCTGCATCTGCGACCGGTGGTACTTCGGATCCGACAACAACTGCAGCCGCGGCAGCTGCAGCTGCAGTGGCAGCGGCGGCGGCTGCAGCTGCTGCAGCCGCGGCAAGTGCTACCTCCTCGTCCGCTCCCTCGTCGTCCACTTCCTCACCGTCCTCGGTGAACAAACCGAATCCGGCCGCACTCACGATGATGATGCTTTTGCAACAGGTAAGCCGCACCCTCAGCACTGTGCCCCGGTGATGATGCTTTATCACACACATGATTTTTGTAATTTCAAATGAAAAGTCGAACGCGATTCGATCACTTTCACTTTGATTTATCAAATGCGGTTGGCTAGATCTAACCGCGTTTTATGGTTATTATTAGTAGTACTATTGCCGCAGTTCGAAACATGTGATCCTGTTTAAGTTATTTCTGTCATGCTCGTCCACAGACACACACGCACACACACATACACGGGACCATTCGAACAAACCACTATTCCCTCGAAGTCTGTGTAAAATCCCTACTTTCAGCAGGTTCTTCTTATTGGATAACGAAACAAATCTTTCGAACGAAGATATCTGTCCAATGTAAGTTTAAACACCTCGGCCAAGTTAACTTCAGGGTTTTTGGTCCCCTTGAGAGTGTTTTGCCAATGAGGTAGCTGGGCCTAGAACTAACCCATAAAGAATATGTACGCACATATGTATGCATGTATATATGCTTGCTGCCGCACGGGAACTGGCAGATGAATTGAGTGGCATTTGCGTCCTCTGAATGAAACTGTGAATTTGTAAGACATTTTGTGGTTTTTAGTACGCGCAATCGGATCGTCATGTCTGGATTTCGATTTGCGTCTGATCAGAGTAAGCAAATACCCTTTTTTGAATGCGTGAAACACCAGAACTAATTTCTGTTCCCGTCGTCAAGCGGGTTTGGGTTGTA